ACATCCAATCATGCACTAAACAAAAAGACATCTGTCTGCAAGAAAGAAGTCCTACAGATGAAATAAGTAAAGCAGTTAGACCATCACTGGTCATCTGTGCTAAGGTTGGAGAGAAAAGCAAAGTGGAAATTTCAGTATTAAGTGGAGCAGCACGTCATTAGTAATAGATGCACAGATCAGGCCGGCCGATTCCTGATCTCTGCTTATGTTCAGTGAGGAAAACACCCTGCTATTTTGCAAGTTCTCCCACTTAGAAATCATGGAGGGGTCAGACATTGTCATTGCAGATGTATGTCTACTGTTTGAGACATAATCTAAAAGAAAAGAAATCCAGAAATGTATGATTTTTTTTATTTATTTGTATGATACAGCAGCAAATAACCCCCTCTAAATATCTGAGGCATCCATACTGATTCTGTTTCATCCCAGGTTCTTAGAAACACAGCAGGGATGAAGGTTATAATGATAATAACATTGGTTTTGGATGATGTTGTTTTTTTTAATTAATGCAGTCTTAATCTAGCCTCATACTAATGAAAGAAGGGGAGAGGATTGATCAAGTGATATTTGTTTGGACATGTGACGGTGATGCAGCTCAGGGTTCAAGGGGAGGGTTAACAGAAGAAGCAATGCCCCAGATGTGGTAACTTTTTCACAGTACAGAAAGGGTAGGAATTTTGCTTTATTATATAATTTTAAATATATGTATATATATACATATACATGTGCTATAACTAACATCGTTCATTAGCTATACATCAATGTTAATAGCTTATATCAATATCTGCTCAGATTTAAATATCAGTGCATCTTAACACTATATTTTATTACTTATTACTATTAGGAGCAGGAGTGGAGTTGCTCCATGCATCTGAACAAAGAATCGCTGTTTTAAAACAAACAAAATGGTCCCATTCTTTTGTGCTCAATGGTTAAAGTAGGTGTTCCACTTTCAATTTGGAAAAATAAACAGGGAGGAGACATGAGATGGGGATGAAATTTTCACACCAACTCAAGCACTAATATTCCGAAAATTGCTTTTTTTTTCTGGAAAATTTGATATCTGTATTAATATAATATACATACTAATTTTCCCTGTTCAATACATTACTGATATATCAAAAAAATAAATGTTTTCACATTTAATGAATCAAATATGGCAGTTTGGGTTTTGGTTTATACTTCCTTGCATTTCAGCTTGATTCATAGGCTTTTTGGTGAACATTAGGATTTCTGTATTCCAAGTCCAAGACTGGACCATTATTATTTAAAGCTGAGGCACATGATTTCAGGAAAACATTAGCCTGAAATGAACAATTTGTAATACTGCTAACTACAACTGTCACATAATATCTATTAGCTGACATTTTTAACGAGCCCAAGTTTCAGAGCTCATTATAACACTGAAAGAGCGCTGATGAAAGTCAACAACAGTATTCTCCCAGAAAAACCTATAAATACTATAAGGCTTAGGGCAACGTAGCTCATTTGCCTGTTTTATCCATTTAAACGATAAATCTTCCCCTATATGTTAACACCTGCTTCTAAGTATTTCACCATAAACTGTCTGACCTTTTAGCAAAGCAGAAGCTGTTGGGAATGATGGCAGTTTAGCAATGAAGAGGAAAAGGCCGTGGTAACTGGTTGAGTGGGGAGCTTGGGGTGATGTCAAATTATTATGGTATTATGGCTGATATTAAATGTTTTAATGTTAGCCTTTATTATTTTGATCTTTGTGGTTATTTTTATTGCTGATTTAAGATAATTACATGTAAAGTGCATAAAAAAACTCATTAATTGACTCACTAATTGAATCTTTTCAATTAACTTTCCATTAATATAGTTATTTTTGGATAATTATTATCTCAAATCCAGACTTCAAACTTTATTTTTCTCTTACGATCAAGTTACTCTCCCCATCTGCCGGTAGGACACAAAAACCCCAATACAGGAAGGATAGTGTGGAACAGGTGTCCAGCAACATGGCTGCTAATTGCACTTTTTGTTCGCACAGGTAAATTTGTGCTCTTATTCAGGATCTTAATAGATCAGGAGCATAGTGTGCAGAGGTCACTAAGGTTCTGCAGTTAATTGCTTAGGCATCAAAACGTCATGTGGACTTCAGATCAGCTTAAAAACTATTTAATGTTACTGAAATGTCTCACATAAAAGTGCAATTGGAGAGAAACAACATTCCACGACTTTTTGAGATAACTGATGGAAATACAAATCCTTAAATAAAAATCCTTAAAGTGGATGTTTTATTTAAAAAAATAAAAGGGAAAAAGAAATATCCCATCTGCTTCATTTCCTTTTTATCAGATGGAAGTTATCGAATCCTAGCATCTTGTCTCCAGCGACTCGCAGTCGAAAAACAAAACCACTACTTTCTCCAGTAAGAGGATATTAGTGCACACTAAACAACTTGAGTAGAATCCATGATGGGTGCCATGATGTTACCTCAGTTCCCTTACAACCCAGCTCCTCTGACCTTATAAAATGTTCTCATTTGTCTAAATTTCCACTGTGGTTACAGTTTTTCTTCCACGAGTCACACAAACTGAATCCTGACAAACCTGAAACTTCTCTAAACACACGCAAATGTGGTACAAAAAAACAACACATTTCTAGGCCTTGCATGCAAATGCTGTCAAACGTTGTGGGATTACAGACCCTTAAAAACAAGATCAAGCCTGAAAGGGAATTTAAAACCACATATATTTCAGACAGTAACATTATTATAGTTTACAATAGCATTCTGATTTTTGACGTTTATTTCAAGTTAAGAATAGAGCAAGGGAGGTGAACAATTTATTCTTTTTGTCATGTGAAAATCCTTGTGCCTCTCTGTCTGGTATCTTTCCTTCACAAACAGGCTGGAGGCAGAGCCAGTGAGAGCCCCACCACAAAGACTCCCACCCTCCAATTCCCTCTGCTTGTACTGTATGATCCCAGAGCACCACATCCTGAGCAGAGGAACGCACTCAACAGCAATGCCTCCTTGAACTGGAAAGTTGGTTACACAATCTGAACTTTTTGTCGACGACTGTAGCTTGACAAAAAAATATTACAATCGCTGCTTTCATTGGAAGTCTAACTGCGGAAAGGGCTGAGGTATTGAAAAAAATCTAAATAAAAATACTTCACAGAAAAGTAGCAGGCCACTTATCATGGGATGTGATCGGGGTGGGATGTCTGTGCCAAGGTGAGAGGCTCCACTGCCAATTCCCAAAATACTCAGGGGGGCTTTCAGGATCAAATATACACTGACCAAAGGATAGTGGATTATATTAGAGGGAAAAACACAGAGACAGTATTCTGACTGCAGAATCAACGTAATTGAAACCCTATTAAAACACTAACAATCTTCAAAGAGCAAGAGGAATAAAGTTTGTTCGGTTTGTTTAATCAACCAAGCTTTTGTTGCTATGGCAACAAAATTCCTGCATAATTATTAAAAGCAACAAAAAAAATCATGTTTTTCAGACTTTAAGATAAATTTAAAATAGAAATGTGTGGCATATTAAATCCCCTTTGTTCTGACACCTCTAAATAAAGGGAGCAATTACCTTTAAAGGTCATATTATTGGTAAATAGAGTCCAGCTGCTTTGTGAAGAGATTAAAGGATGCTGCAGAGAGGTTAGGGAAAGAGTATGAATAGATTTAAAGGAGACTTTAAGTGTTAAACTTCTTTTTAAGCTCCGTTTTATTTAGATTCTGAAATTAAAGAGTCTGCCACCAAATGTTAACCTACTAGCCAACCACCTGAACTTTTAGACCGAGCATTTACACAGACAAGGAAAAAAAATGGCCATGTTAACTCCAGCTGAGCTGAAGGTGGAAATATTTAATGAAAGAACTAGAAGAAGTCATGCACTCCACAGATCTGGCCTTCATTAAAGAGGTTTGGGCAGAACAGGGGGCACGGTAAAACACTACGTGGGGCTGGATGTCACCCTGAACACAGCATTCCTTTAGCAAATCATGGTTGTGACAGCATCATGAAGTGGAGATACTTTTTATTAGCAGACAGGGAAGATGTTCAGAGATAATGAAGTTGATTGTAGGGTAACCCTGCAAGAAAAACTGCCAGACAGTGTTAAAAACTTGAGACCAAGGATATAGATTTATCTTCAGTAGAACACCAACCCTTTACATGCAGTCAGAATTACAGAGGATTTTTTACACCAAAATATTTTAGTATTAGAATGTCCTAGTCAAAGTTCAGACCTGAATCCAAATGAAAATCTGTAAAAAAAAAAAAATGTAAACATACACCCTTCTTCTAATCCAACAAGATTTGACTTTGTTTTGGGAAAATATAATCTGTTTTATATCGAGTCTTACCATTGAAATTCAGCAGGTGGCTGAATAAAAACCCATTGGACACCTTTATCAGATTTTCCTTAGTAAAAGCTTTTCAAAAAAGGAGATACCTTTCACAATTAGGTTATTCACTATTTTGTTTAGCTCTTTTACTTATTACCCACTCAAATTCGCTAAAAAATGTTTAATTGTGGCTGTAGCATGACAAAATTTTAAGCAGCTTTGTTAAATGATTTTAGAAAGACACTAACTGGTTTGAAAACAATACTCATCACTTATTTATTAATTCTTCATGATAACAGGCACTATTTTAGTGTCAAAAAGAATTTGTAGGTGCAAATAAGATTACTTTTTACCTTAATATTTGTTAAATACATCTTTTAAAGCCACAAAGGTATTAAATAGAGGTGAATCTCAATATATTAACTTGGCAGGTTAGGCTGAACAAAACGGGACCCTGAGGATGTTGCCGCAAATCTCCTTATATTTTGTTTTCTAGCTCTACAAGATGCCCCTGCAGAGTTCAAATCCCTTGTCCTCTAGTAAAGCAGACCACTACACATAAAGGGAGAGCACAATTTGGCAATCAAATGCTGTAATAACATACAGACCAATTTTGAACTTTTTGCCAAGCAACTGGAAGGGGAAATAGAGGAGTATAAACAGCACTCACCGCGGCCAGGCTCGGGTTTCCATGGTGCACCGAGGCATCTTCTGGGCAGCTCACACACACGACATATCGCTCAGGAAACAGACGCAAATCTGAAAGCAGGCGGGGAAACGGCACAGATCTTAATAAGGTTGGCTTACCTCTAATTATCGGTCCAAGTCAGACTGTAGGAATTGTGGTGGAAGCTTGAATTAACATCTACAAACTATCCGTCACACAATGGGACTAAAAATACATATCCAAAACTTTATGAGCAGAGTAAATAACATAAAAATAGCTTACATTTTTACATTAACTGTGGGTTTTCAAGATAAACTAAAGTTTAAAGGATTTCAAATAGAATATATTTTCACTTCAAACACAAATTATGTTAAATAAGCTACATAATGTTCTAAATATGAATTCAAACATGTAAGATCAGAAGATAATGGAAAACATGAGCTATGATCTTTCTTTACTTGAGGAGATTGGATTAAAGCAAAATCTTTAAGAAAAAAGATAAAGTTCTATACCTTTCCCATTTTATGAATTTTAGCTGCTACATGGCTCAAAGCCTTATTTTTTCAATCCTTTTCACCGGCTGCCTTCATGTGTGGACGGAAAATATTATTTACATGTACTATGGTTTTGGTAAGTATTAGATTTTCCCACAACTACAGCAAACAGTTTAATGACAATTGCTGGCTAAAACCACAAGCATTTATAAAAGGGGTTCATGCTCTCTCTTCTAGGTCACTGCTGGTCCCAATCGCAGAGCATGTCTATATAAAACATTTGGTGAAAAAAATAAATAAATAAAATAATAATAATATATATATATATATATATATATATATATATATATATATATATATATATATATTTATTCTCTAGCCTTTTCTTCACCTCAAGCTTCTTTTCCGAAGCATTTTAATGCCACGATTATCAAATTTAATGAATTTTAATGCCAATTAAGGCCTTAATTAAAAACATAATAATTGAATTGCTTTTAATGATTTTTAATGACCCGCGGAAACTCTGATTTAGGACCATTTTAAAGATTCTTTGTTAGGGGTGGGGCATCCAATTTGTGGAGGTATATTAGCACACAAAGGATGAATCTGTCTATAGTAGCAGCCATTCAAAATGGCCCTTGCAGGTCAAACGCCAGCCAAATGGCAGCCCACTTCCCTTCAAAATCCCCTAAAACTTCCAGCCAATGGAGTGAGCCCCTCCTTCTCCTGGGCGTGCATATTTTTCACTCTGACTCCACCCTTTCACTGAATTACAAGGTTTGGCCAGGAGAAGATGCTTCTCTTTAGATCTTAATGTCCACAAATCATGACAGCAAGGATATTTTAGAACCAAGATTGATGTTTAAAAAGGAATTGCAGGGGACCAGCCAATGGCCCATGAAGTAGGGAAATTTTGAATGACTACTACTTTATCCATCCATCTGTCTCCCCACTGAATAGATGCCTCTTAAAGAACTGCGCTGTGGTCATTAACATTTTGTAGCCTTCATAAAACTTCTAGGCTCATTCTTGTTGTCTATCTGGTCACTCTTCATGGCAGAAAGTTTGAAGCTCTGGAGAATAGTTAACACATTTTCAGCAGGATTGAGGTTGGGGCGTTGGGAGAACCACTAAAGAAACTTGACTTTACTGTTCCAAAATTAGGTTTGATGTGTTTTGGGGATAATTGCCTTTTCGGAACACCCTGTTCCATCCAAGTCTCAATGATCTGACCTAAACTTTTAACATCAGATGAAAGGAAGTTGGTTTTGATGTTCAGAAGAAAAAAAAAAGCTCATGCCTCCCATGAACAGGAAACCCCATGAATATCAATATAAGAGAAGCCACTTTACTGAACTATTTAGCTACAATAAAAAGAACTTTGTTTGGGAAAAAATAATGCAAGGATACAACTACCTGGCAAGGCAGTGGTAGAATGGTGCTTTGCTAGAGATACTGATGCAATGTGAAGTCTACATAATAATAAAGAGTTAAGAGTACCTACAAATTATTGATTTAACATTGGAGAAATTTACCTCTGCATTTAACCCATCCCATTGGGGAGCAGTGGGCTGCCACTGTGCGGCACAGGGGAGCAATGTGGGGTTAAGGGTTTTGCTCAGGAACCCAGGGTGGAGGATGTGGGGTTTAAACCGGGCTACTTGCAACCTTCTCAGACCACAAGTGCGCTGCTTTAACCCACTAGGCCAACACTTCCTGATGATTACATTTCTCTTCTTATCATCACACTTATATCTTTTGTTTTATTTTTTGTGTTAATTAACCCACCGTCTGGAGCTTGAAATTATTTCACACATTTTTCATATTTTCAGACGGAAAAAACACAACAAACAAAAAAATTCCAATTCCAGATAAACGTCTTTTAGCTTTCATTAAACCTTCAGAAGGTTAGCATTGGATATTTTTACCAATAGAAACTAAAACTAATGATATTTTTGATTTTATCTAACCTAATATGTATGCTGAGTGAACTCAGTGTACTAAATTTCACCACCTTTGACCCCAGAGGACCAGGCCTAATTTGATGTGTAACGGACCTGCTGAAAGAACCCTCATTTTACTCAGCAGCAGGTCACCGCTGCCCCAACATCTAGGCCTCAGTTCTGAGGGAGCAGATATTAACTTTACTGACAGGAAGAGAACCATGTTGGTCCCATGAAAAGGTCCCCAGGGGTCACAGGCACTAGATGGGCCGTGACGATACATTCCCACTGCCCTCCATAGACAGTCGCACAGTTCCTCCCTCTCTCCCATTCCCAGTAGCCTCTCAAGGGGGCTTTTTAACGGCTGCCTGCTTTCAAATACACCCTTAGCAGGTAGGGACAAGACATAAAAACAAGTGAGGGAGAGAAAAATCAACACGCAATCCGCAGATGACTTGTTCTTTTGGTGGGAAATTTGGCTGAAAATGATGCATTTCTGATTATTTTAAATGGGACAGGTTGCAGGAAAGCATGTTGGTCACATACCCTGCTCCACAACACATCTGAGATTGGAGTGCCGCCTGAAGAAATTGGCCACAAGGTTGAAGTTTTCCCCTACAAAAATACAGAAAGACAATTAACATTAAACGGTGCACAAACATTTTCTAAACATTAAAACATACTGGTCACTTAATAGAATTGCACGGCCTTATGAAGTATTTTTAACCTTTGACCTTTTTCACATTCAGTCACATCACAACTACAAACCCCAAGGTAAAGCTGTATTCAAATCCATTTTTTTATACCTTCAAATAAAATCTGATGCAACTAATTGGATTTTAATGTTAGTATAAACACAGCTGTTCAAGGCCTCAGATATTAAAGAAGCTGTGGAGAAGTTTAAAGCAGATTTGGGCCCAAAAACAACATTCAGAACTCTGAACATCTCACAGAGCTCTGTTTAATTCATCATATAAAAATAAAAAGAATATGGCACAACTGCAAAGCTACAAAGACACAGCTGTCCATGTAAACTAACTGAGTGGGCAGATCTTGATGAAAAAAAACAAAGCCAAGGGGCCCAATGTAACTCTAGAGGAACTATAGAGAACCAAGGCTCAGGTGGGAGAAAACCATCAGTCACACATTCCACAAATCTGAACTCTGGAAGAGTGGCAAGAAGAAAGCTGCTATTAAAGGAGAGCCGTTCAAAGTCAGTTTTTACCACAAGTCATTTAGGGACCAAAGCAAACAGGAAAAAAGTGTTCTGGTCATATCAAACTATTATTAAAATAGTGCCGCAGCTATCGTTATTTTAGCAGTTTATTAATCCTTAATCCTTCAATTATTTTTTTCAATTAATCTTAAAAAACATACTTTTTGTAAATTAATTTGTTGATTACAGTCCAACAACTTATAATACTATAATAATATAGTAAAAGATACTTTTTTTACAGAACTGGATCCAGGTGAAGCTAAAACTACACTACTTGAGAAGCTCTCGACAGAGGAGATTTTATTACATGTAAAACGTGTATATTTTTACCCACTTTTGGCTTAATTGATATTCTGCAATGGTTATTCTCTCAATAAATGACATTATTAAGACAATTATCTTAATTGTGACAATTATCATCAATTAATAATTAATTTTCATCCCACAATTCAGCATGTATGGTTTCAGAACTATTGCTGCACGTTAGCCTAAACACACCACCCCCACACTGAAACCTGATGGTGTCAACATCGTGGGGAGGCTCTCTCTTTAGCGAGGACTGGGAAGTGGGCCAGAGTTGCTAGGAAGATGGATGGAGCAAAATGCAAACCAATCATAGAAGAAAAGCCGTTGGAGGCTCCAAAAAAAAAACAAAAAAAAACAGAGATTACTGCAAAGGATTTCCTTCCAACAAGGCAGGCTAGAACGCTATTCATGCAGAGAGACATGCAAGGAAATGGGTTGGACTGAAACATATTAATGTCAAACCCCAGATCTAAACCTGTAATTAGACTTAAAAATTCATGTTCAAAGACGCACTATTCTAACAGCTTTGAGCTACAAAGCAAAGCACAAAGGGCATAAATCTCAGTGTAAAACTGGTAAAGACATACTCTAAAAGACCTGCGGCTGTAACTGCAAGAAAAGAGGATTCTAGGGAATATTCCTGATTTGCATTTCTCAAAGAAAGAAAAAAAATACAAAATAACATGTATTCTCTTTACATTTCACAAATATAAGCACCTTTCTGAAGTTTATAGCTGTAGTAGGATCAAATTAAGAGTAGGAATACTTCTGCAAGCCAGTGAGAGGTTATTTACTGATTATAAAATAAGGGCTTCATTTTAATAACATTTAAGTTTGGAAGCAGCAGAGAAGTCATGGGTCGAGTCTCCACTCTGAAATGTTTGTCACAGTGTTTAAGATGTGCTGGGCAGAAACTGTGGCCTGTTGCCTAATCTGGCAGGAATTTGTTGACAGAAAGCAAAGGTCTGGCTGACATGCAATTCAGTTGTTCTTTACTTCTCGATGCTGGGAAGCCGAAGGAGGTTGCTTCCCCTTTGGTACCGTCCTGCACCCTTTCCAACTCTTTACACTGGCATATTCAACTTTCCTCAACTCTGCCACTACCTTTCTAATAATTCATGTTTTGCTTCTTTTTTATTTATTTACAAACTATAGAGTTGAGGGAGGATTCTGGTATTTTGCCTTCAATTAAAGGATTACATGTCCTCCAAAGTTTGAGAAAATCCTGACCTTTTGCACTCCAGACTCTTTCAAAAAAGTCCCTGGATAATGTCAAATATGCACTATGACTACCATCAAGTCCAAAACAAGGTTGTGCTTCTTAAAAAAAAAAAAAACTGACATTATGGGAGTTAACGTCTGAGACTTTTTTACGCCCCTCGGCAATAACACTTCATACTTCTTTTTTTTTTTTCAATCATCGGAAAAGTATCTTCCCAGAGTTGGTTCATAACCCAAACTTGCCCCACACAGCCATTGGCACAAAATGCAGGCGGTTTAAAGCCCCAGGAATAAATCTGAAGGGGAAGTTGTCAATACTTTTCTGTGACTTATGGAAACTTTTACACTATACACTATACAAGAAGTGTACAGTGACACACACTGTCACACGCTTAAACTGAAAGGGAATAAGCTTAGATATATCAGTAGCAGTAACAGGGACAAAAACAACAACTAAATATAATATACATATACATATATATATATATATATATATATATATATATATATATATATATATATATATATATATATAATATAAAATATCAATTTAAAAGAAAATAAAAACTAGATTTGAATTTCAGTACATTGATTTGAAAAAATAAATTCGTAATTATAATCAATAATACATTCTAACTTATTTAATTTTTTCTGTTTAATTTGAGATCTCAATTGCATAAAAATTAAAATCCCTCAAAATTTCATCATCAATCAGAAGGATATAGACATTTGTAAAATGTTACAAAATAGAGGGCCATGGGCAGCTATCATAATCAGTAAAAAACTCAACTCCTGCAACTAAGCCACTTATTATATGGGTCTTTACAGTCTTGCTTAATGAGGTCTACAGCATATGTGGGATAAATGCTACGACAGTTGTTTGCTGACCATTAACATTTTTTGTCTTCGTTGAGGCGTTAATTCAGACAAATCTATTAAGAGCTCTATACAGAGCTTCAGTGTTCAACACATTAAATAGAGGCAAAGGGTCACAGGCAAAAGATCCATACTCAACAGTGGCAAGAGAGGCTCTTCTAACCGCAACCTGAAGGTTGTTTGAAGAAAAACCTTAAAAATGGGGAATTACAAAGAGTTGATTCACTGAGTATTGAGTGTTCACAGAAATACTCACCATACAGACTTATGAAATACATCTTTACCTCCTCTGTACTAATTTTTGTCATTATAATTCTAAGAAACCAAGAAGTCAAAGGATTCCTGGAAGTTCTAAGAGAAACAATCAATTTCAGGTGTTTAAGGTTGGTGAAAGTTGTTTTATGATAACTGTAAATTTATGCCACTGGGTCCTTTGAAATTAGGTTCATATGCCTCTGAAAAAAAAACACTTCACCTCACTAATGTTCAATGGAAGGCTGCAGTGTAAAGTGTACGTTACATAACATGACTATTTTAAGGGCTTTTACCCATGTCACAAGTGTGGCATCAGTTGCCTTTGTCTTTCTTGAGAGATCCTTAGTTCATCACGTATGCCACATAACCTGTTATTCATAATTTCTTATTAGATATCATCTATCCAGGCTGACTAATGTCTGAGAGACAAAATTATTTGTAGCAGATGCAGCATTATATTTTGCAATCCAGCTTTAGCATGAACCAGCCAAAAACAGTGTCCAAAGAACAGTACTGGATTAACATGACATTTAACTGTTTTAATCACCCAGCAAATCTTATGACCTTGCACCCTATAAGAAAATCTATGGAGTATTGTTTGTAAAATTAAGTTGCACAAGTTGCAATTAAAATTATTTTTAATGTAGCAAATAAACCATCTATTTAGAAGCAATCTGAATATATAACACTAAGTTGGGCAGTGTTCAGATGTAATCATTTTATTATAATGCCGCTGCTGAGTTTTAAGCCCAGACAGAGAGTCTATTATTATTTTTTACAGTTTATTTGAGTTAAAACAACTGGCCTCATACTTTTATGTTGTATTTGTGGAGTTGTGGTTAACTCAACATTTGCTAATAAATAAACCTATTATTTGAAGTATATTGCTTACATGCAGTTAAAGTACAATTATTCATGTTATTTATCTTCTAAGCTTTATTTTTTGTTTATTTTTAAAGCCTAAAAATTCCAAAAAAACATTTGAACAATCATTTTAGTTTGATTGCTAATGTTTGAGTATTTTTCGTACATTTCACTTGTTAATGGAATTACTGAAATCAATCTACTTTTTCATGAATATTCTTAATTTTTATGAACCAGCACCTGTAAATATATATATATATATATATATATATATATATATATATATATAATATATAAAATTCAAATTTAAAAGAAAAAAAACAACTTTAATTTAACACCGGTCATTGAGTGAAAAAAAATAAATCCCAAGTTATAAGCAATTAATGACATTCTTACTGTTTGTATTTTGTTCTAGAGTCACTCAATATACTGAGATCTGCAATTGTCATTAGAATAGCATCCTAAATGCCCTCTTTTAATCTAGATCTTAGCATCCTCAATCAGAAGGTTAGGGACTATAGACACTTTGATTAAACATTTAAAAAAAGAGGGGGATGGAGTTTATTTCTTATCAGTATCAGAAAAAAGTCATGCTTTCCTGATATTCTGAAGCACTACTTATTTCGATATGGAAGCATTTATGACAGCTTGGCTTAACTGAGTGTTTTCTACAGGCTTTAGGTGTTGGGATTAACATGGCTACAGAACAAGGTTGATTTTGTGTCTATTTAACATTTTTTGTCTTCGTTTAGCGTTATATTTCAGATCATTATCCTATTTAAGCCTCTATAAGACCTTAATGTTCACACAGTAAATAGTAGCCAAACAGGCTCACAGCATCAAAGATCCCCCCATACTCTACAGTGGGAATGAGGCT